GTTGGATCCTCTCCCGGGAACCAGGTGGGGAAAGCAAGGAAAGACGGGAAGCAATGCTAAGACAGCAGTAGAACTGGGAAGCCTTGAGGAATCCGATGTAGGCAGGAGGCAGAGGGCTGGGCCCACCTCCATCTTCACCTCCTAGAAACCAGAGTCTAGAGGCCAGGACAGGTGTTCTGGAACAGACTCCCTGCTACAGCAGAGCAGGGTCAGGGAAAGCCCGTCCTGTGAATTGGATTTGGTGACACCTGCAGTCTTTGCTCTCTGATGGCCAAGCTCATAGCAAATGAGCAATGAGTTAAACGGGGTTTTCTGGATCTGCATGCTCATATGTGTCTGTGACCTCAGCTAGTTCTCTGACCTGAGCAAGGATTGCCAACAGGGTTTCCATGGCATGAAGCTAGCATATGAACCTACCTAGATCAGTGTGCCATAGTGAGAATCATCCCAGCTCTTGGTGTTTTCACGTATAGTGGTGGGTGAGGCAAAGGGGCTTCTGTGTGTATTAAGGGTAAGTGAGAACAATATCTAAAGGAGCACCGATCTTCCCTCCCTCTGAACTCTGATATCCCTCTGTGCCAGACTTTCCACTCTGCCAGGAGCTACATGGTCACCTGACCCCCATGGCAGCCCATGTGAGACAGTATGACTGGCAGATGACACTCACTGGCACTCCCCTGGCTCGAATTTCCTGGTAAACTAGCTGCTCTTCTAGCTGCAGCCTCAGAAATTCCTGGACAGGTTTTGTTGGTTAATAGCAAAGCAGAAAAGTGAGCTCCTGGGCCCAGAGCTCAGCCAGAGTTCCCCACTTCAAAGAAAATGTACAAGAATTTAGCGGGTGCCAAGGTTAGGAAACCTGAGGCCCTGCTTCCAGCATGCATGGCCTCAAACTCGCTTTGCTGCAGATAGCTGGGCTGAGCACAGTGTGGTTCTCCAGGGCAGAAAGCAGAAAATGCACCAGGAACTGTCACACTTTGCTCCACTCACGTGTCTCATCCTGCGAAGGCAAGCTAATGTGTTGGTTCCTCTGTGACATACAACCCCTTCACACAGCATCCGTGCGCAGACCCCAGACACACAGACCCTGACACTGGCCAGGAAACTGGAGAACCCTCAGTCTGCAGAAAGTTTAAATGTAAGCTGGAATAGTGGCCAAAAGCTGTACCACCCCTGGTGCCTGTCCTCGAAAATCCAGGCCTCGATGAACAACTTGCTCACGTCTCGCCTTTTCCATGAGGCTCTTTAGTCTTCATGTGCTGTTTTCCCACGCTTAGACTCTGATACTTTGAAATCACAGGGCCCTCTCTCTATAACACCTCCATCTTACTCCCCCCTTTTCCCTCCATCTTACTTCCCCCCTCATCTCCATCTTACCAATGCCTTCACCCTCCAACTTACCCCTTCTCTGAGAGCCCATAAAGGTTCTCGTTTAACCCCATGGGGCCCAGAATGGAGAAAGTCATGGTTATTCATCCTCATGAAGCCTCCTTTAGTTTTGACTTCAGGATGGAGAAAGTGGAGGTTCATGGGTGGGGCTGTCAACATGCTGCTTCCCCACCGGGGTGCACCATGCCTGACGCCATCCAGGATTGGTTACAGTGAAGTGCTCTTCTGCCCGAGGCTGTTTATTATGAGGCAGAAAATGCAATTAACCTTAAGTGGTTTGGGTCACTGGCCCAGGCTTCCTTTCTCCTTGCTGCCTCTGTTCCCTTGTGAAAGAATAGTCAAAACAGAGACCCAGAATCAGGCGTGCCGAGGAGCAGAACCATCCGTGTTCCCATCCTTGGCTGTCTGGGGGGACGGGTGCTCGGAGGCTCACGGATCGTCCTGTGCACCACACAGAGAGAATAAAAGCCTTCACTTACATGCAGCGTTGCTTTCAATATGTGTGTGCTGTTATGATTCATAAAATACAGAGTTACTTCTGAATGTTTATTAAGTTACTATGACCCAAAAAACATCTTTGGGAAGAGACTACCCTCCAGGGGAGCTGGGGACAGGGGCTTGGGTGCTCTGCTTGGGCTTCCTTGTCCTGAAGCTAAGCAGGCTCAGGCTTGGAGCTCTGGCTGTGCAACGGAATGGCAATCACCTCTTAGCACAGCTGCCTGTTTCTCCTGGGTAAGCAGTGACACAGCGTTTGTCTCCCGCTTTTCCCTACCCCAGGTTTCCGTGTGGTTGGAAATGAGCTTCTTCTGCCACTAGAATTCAGACTAGCTGCTCACCAGGCAGTAACTACCGTGGCGCCAATAACGTTGGTAGAGGACGAAAACACCACACACACCCTGCCAGCGGCTTCTTCTCTTCCATTCCAGCTGCTCCGAGGGAAATAGTAGCGTAGGCCTTGCTGCATGGGCTGAGTTGAACACATTTTTCTCCCCCACCCCATCCCCAAAGGACCTTAATTAGGATAGTAAGCCCATATTCCACAACAGCAACAAGGAAGGAGTGGACAGACCCTGCCCCAAGAGACGATTGCTGCTGGTGGCGTCCTTTTAAGGACTTGGCTTGTGACCCGCCACCCAGAAGTCTCAGGGTGACTCTTGGTCTCTGTCCTGTTTCTGCTGGGAGACCAGAGGGTAGGATGGAAGCTCCTGCTTCAAGAATGTGTTGTAAGAGGGAGCATCTGTCAGTAGAAGGACTGGGGGGGGAGGGGGGGACACATCTCCACATCACTTCCTCCTTTAAGTGCCAGGTACTCATCTTTCAGCCTCGGCAAGAATAAACTCCTTAAGACATTTGCTGGAAGACGTAGCACCCCGCCCTAGATCTTCCATAGTGTAGGGTAAGCCAGCAGAAGAGAGGAGGTGAAGAATGAGCCTTGCATGAAAATCTTAATAATGTACCTGTTGTTGGAGCAGGGCCAGGCCCTTCTCTGTTGCCCGTGGACCAGGCCATGTCACCGGTTAAGGTCTTTGGCACTTGTAAGACATTGGCAATTGGTCAGTGTACCAAAGGGCATCTGAGGTGAGCTGCAGAGCAACTTGGGACAGCTGCAAAGACAGAAGCTTTGCAGGGCTCCAGATATGACTTACAGTGACCTGTAAGTCATTCTCCTCCTGGCTTACCAAGGGTACCCAGACAGGCCTGGGAAGTAGAAGTTCTGAGTTATATTTTATGTAACCTTTCAGCCAGACTACCTTCTCTTTATTGAGAGTTTATTCAGCAGATACGATAAAGCCCTGCCCATCTTGCCTAAGACCTTGCGTTGAGTTTTGGGGAAGGGTGCTCAAAAGAAGCAGGCGAGAGAGAAAGAAGGGACGAAGTCAGCAAGATAACGAAGTGCTGTGGGTGTCACCAGGGACATAAATAGGAAAGCAAGGTGCAGAGTTCAGGCGCAGCCATCCTAAGGCCCTTTGCAGAGGGGCTTTGGCACCAGGACCTCAGAATGGCAGGGCGAGGAGAGCTATGAGAATTGTGTCCCAAGCAGGAATGCAAAGGCGCAGGAGCAAAGGAACTTCAGCCTGCTCGGGGGCAGGAAGACTGTTGTCAGAGTGGGGTGGAGAGAGATTTGGTGGGTTCAGAAAGAAGCAAGAACTAGGCTATGTAGGACATTACAGCCCTGGCCAGACTTAGGGCTTTATTCTGAGAGTTGGGAAGACACTGAGTGGGTTAAGCAGAAGTGAGTAGTGTAACTAAAGATCACTGCCACATTGCTTGTAATAAATTAGTAAGAGTCTCCATTAATGTGACCTGGGTGAATAACATTAGGTCCATTAGACTGCTTACAGTGGTTGAAAACTCTGAGACATAGCTGTGTGGACTACTATAGAAGGGTTTGAAAAAAAATCAAGAAATGGGATGTATAATTGAGGTGTAGAGTGAAGCCCAGGGGAAGAGCGCGTGTGAGCCCCTGGATCCCCAGTACTAGAGGCAAATGTGTTATAAATGTATTTTAAGGGCCAGCAAAATTGTTCAGCAGATAAGGGGGCCTGCCACCAAGCCTGATTGGATGATCCAGGTTTCAGTCCCTGGGCTCATGTGGTGAGAAGAGAGCTGACTCCTGGAAGAAGTTGTCCTCTGATCTCCACACATTCACCATGGAATGCACACACACACACACACACACACACACACACACACACATATATATACACATATATATGTATATATATGAGGGAAGGGTATGTATGCCTCTTTTTAAATACATTATGTATAAATGCATTTTATATATGATGCAGTATATATAACTAAAAAGAGGCAATATCCATACTTATAGATGTACCTATATATAGACAATTACATAACAGTCTGTTTGCAGGCTGATCCTAGGAAGACCATGGGGGCTCGGAGGGGATAGAAACTAACTTTATAGCATATTCTTTTGTACATTTAAGTAGCTTAGTCTGTGCTTGTCTTATTCAGCAAACAAGGCACGATATCTAAGTCATGATCACTCTGGTTACTGTGTGAAGAAGGGCTGAGCAGGGAGGGCAAGAGTGAAAAGAGAATGCACTAGAAGGCTCAGGAAGTATTCCAGCTGCAGGACAGCTGTGGTTTGACCTATGGAATTTGGCAATGGGGATGAAGAACTGTGGATGAATTCAAGAATTCTGATATCTCTGTGGTAGGAAATTGTTGGCTTTGTCCCAGGTGCTAAAAGCCTCCAAATGCCAGAGAAGATGTGAAACATGACACTGTGGAAGACACTTCCGGGTGTACACTACCTTCATGTCCACATGCAATCCATAAATCATCCTTAGAATCATAAAAACAAAAGCAAAAGCGAGCTATCACAGTGCTAGAAGCTTGCTGTCCACCCAGTCTGGCCAAGTCAGTGAGCTTCAGATTCCATGTGTGTATGTAAACACACACGCACACAATACACAGATGTACTCATACACACATGCACACACACATACATACACACACACACAGTTCACTCTAAAGAGTTGCACACAAATGCATATGTGTGCACACACATGCACACACCTCTTATGCCACACATGCACAAGTCACCCTGAAGAGCGTGCATTTCCCAATGGAGCTTTCTTTCTTTGCAGAGAGATGCCAAAGGCCAGTACCTGTTTGACCTCCTTTGCCACCACCTGAACCTGCTTGAAAAAGACTACTTTGGGATTCGTTTTGTGGACCCAGATAAGCAGCGGGTAAGTGTCAGGCTCTGGGACCAGCCCGAACCATAAATTATTTCTCAGACCAAAGGAGAGGCATGGGAAGAATAGAGACACAACTCACATGGCTTTATCGGGAAAGAGTTTCTCAGAGATCCTCATGAAATCCTGAGTTCACATCCTGAAAATTCACCTGTGTTTATTCTCCAAACAGCTTTTATACCAAAACATAAACTGAGGGGGAAATTCATTAGCATTCTGTTTCCTAGGTAGCCAGGAGAGTGACTGTGGTCGCGTCCACACCTTTCTATGCCCGCTCTGTCACGTCTTCCTATCTATGCCTGCTCTGTCACATAGACTGAAATAACATCTCTTTCCAGGCAATCTCCAGAATTACAAAAAAGGAGCAGAGTGACATTAGGATATCCTAACCCTTTGTTTAGGATGGCATCAGTTTGCCTCAAAAGGCTAGGTGACCACCTCCTGTGTGGTCAAAAACTGTGGCCTGAAATTCTGGTCACCATACATGTGGAAATATGGACCTGTATAATATGACCCTACAATCCACTGTCTCTTATTAATTTTAATAAAACCTGTACTTCTGCAACAGGACAGATTATCGCACCTGTCTTAGGCATAGATTTCTCCATTTACCCAAACCTACCCATCTTTGGAAACCAGGCATCTTTTATACGAGCTCCTGTCTTAGGCACCTGGGGAGGAGAAGCTTCAAACCCATCACTGACTGCTGATCTCTGCAAAGAAAAGAGATTAAGGGAGAGAAATACTTTTGGGCTCTGTGTCGTGGAGCCATGCTTTCTTGTCAGGAGAAATCATAATGTTTTATGAATAATCATGTTCCTAAAGACTATAGTCTTCTATTTAAAGGAGAGGAAGCTTGCCTGGCTGAAAATGTTTCTTCAGCTGGTCTAGAGCATGTCTTAAATTTTGAATTGTATCAAAATCTAAAATTCTTAACATATACATTAAACCTAAACATTTACAGGGCATGTCAAACCTTTCTCAACATCTTATAAGCAGTTACCAACATTATCAGGTCAATACCATAATTAACAATAAATCCACAATTAAATCCAAACATTTATAGAGCCCGACAAACTTTCCTCAACATCTTATAAGCAGTTACAAACATTATCAGGTCAATACCATAATTCTATAATGGGAATTAATAATAAATCCATAATTTAACATATCACAATTTTCTTAAATCCATATTAATCAAAAGACAGGAAAAGCTTTGCTGATGGATCAGAGTTCAGTGACATTGCTGCTATCAAATACCAGTTCCAGTCTCTGAGCAGCAGTTAAACCCTTAGGCTGCCCCCTTCTTAAGTGAAGATGGGCTTCAGTCATTCCTTATTTTGAGTCTTTCTTTCCCTGAGGGGAAAGCTTAGGTCTTAGTTCTCAGGTCCAATATTTTAATGAAGATGAGTTCTGAGTCCCAAAGATTAAAACAGTCAGATGTTCAGCCTGCATCTCAGCTCCAAAGCAAACAGGATTCAGACTGCAGAAAATTGTAGTCATCACGCAGCAGGGCCTCTGGGTCTGTGTGTCCCCAGTGTCTGGAAGCAGCTCAGCATCTGTCCCTCAGAGCAGCATGGTACCCTGAAGTACAGAGTGGAGATCCCATGATCAGTGACTCCTCTCGGAGGCGGCGGGGAAGACTGGACCACAGGCCCCTCTCCTACTCCTTTCATTCTGACCCTTCTATGGGGTCTTATCAGCTACGATGTCATCGGGTCTGCCACTCCTTTACTGATATGCAGTCATCTCATCCAGCTCTGTTTTCTTCCTGTGAAAAAAACACAAACACATCCTTGACCCCAAATTAATATAGGCCGGGTCTTTTTATAATTTATTGCAAGGGCTTTTTCACCTTGCCTTAGTAAAGGTCACCTTGGTGTCACCATGCCAGATCTGTCTGCAACATTTATCCTTTTAAGTTGTTTTCAAGGAGCCATGGCATGCTCCACAATTTCTTTTCATTATTAACCGTATATGCAGTTCTTCCATTGGAAGAGTCTTTTGTAAAATTGTAGCATAACATCTTTCCAGGGATCTTTAGCTATAACATTAGCAAAATATAGTTGTGCGAATAGCAGCAACAATCAGCTAGGAAAAGATTATTACTCTGGCCTTTAAATTGAGCGAGCACAATTGTCTAAGAATCACTATCTTAAAATTATTAATTAATCTATTGCTTAGTAAAAGAAACATTGATCATAGTCAGTTCTCTGCTAAAACATCTCCTGGACTCCATCCTGCTCTTCTGTATTAGACAAGCTGCTGCTTTAAATTAAGAGTTTAATATCTTAACTGGCAAAATGGGAAGGTGTAGTCATAAAAACCATTCTTTTTTTTTATAAAACTGCTGTAGGATAAGTTTTGTATTTAATATACATGCTTGCTAAGGCTTAATCAAAATTAATATAATGTACTTGCAGATTATATACTCTACCTGCTGATCTATAATCCACCTGTTTGAGTGCCTGTTTGGCAGCTCCTATAAGCTCTCTACTGGAAACTGGCTCATTGCTCCCTTTAAGAATTTTACTTAGTGGCTCAAGATCTCCCAATAAGAATATTATAATTAAGGCTTTAGCCAATATATATCTAATTAGAAGTTTGTAAACTATGCTCCTCTTAAGTTGCAAGTCTGCCTAACTGATAGAAAAATGGAAAAAGGAAAGCATATTCAACTAATGATGCTGGCCTAATTAGACATCAACATGTAGAAGAATGAAAACAGTTCCATATTCACCTCTATGCACAAAACTGAAATCCAAATGAATCAAAGACCTCAACATAAAACCAACCACACTGAATCTCTACAATGTTAGAAGTACACTTGAATGCATTGGCACATCTAAATTACAGTCTCAGTGGCACAGACATTGAGAGAAACAATTAATATATGAGGTTTCCTAAAACTGAGAGGCTTCTGTATAGCAAAGGACATAGTCAACATGACATAATATCAGCCTATAGCATGGGATATGGTACAGACCTAAACTGAAAACTCTCAACAGATGAACTTAAAATGACTGAAAGACACCTAAAAATTACTCAACACCCTTGGCCATTAGAGAAATGCAAATCTAAACAGCTCTGAGATTCCATCTTATCCTTGTAAAAATGACCAAGATTAAAAATACTGCTGATAATTTATGCTGAAGAGACTGTGGAGTAAAGAAAAAACTCCTCCAATGCTGGTGGGAGTACAAATTGGCACAGCCACTTTGGATTCTAGTGTGGCAATTTCTTAGAAAATTAGGCAACAATCTACCTTAAAACTCAGCAATTCACAAAAGATGCTCAACCATAAGGACATGTGCTCAGCTATGTTCATAGCAGAATTCTTTTGTCATAGCCAGAATCTGAAAACACCCTAAATGCATCTCTTCTACACATATGATAAATGAGTTGAGATAGAAATCAGAGAAACATCACCCTTTATAAATAGCTACCAAAAGCAATCTGCAGATTCAATGCAAATTAAAATTATAGCAGAATTCTTTACAGACCTCAAAAGAACAGTCCTCAACTTGATAAGGAAAACAAAACTCAGGATAGCCTGAACAATCCTAAAATGCCGTACAATCAAGGAACTTCTGAATGCATCACAATCTCTGACTTTAAACTTCACTACAGAGCCACAGTACTGAAAACAGCGTGATACTGGCATAAAAACAGATATGAAGACCAAAGGTACTGATATCAGTCCACACACCTACAAACTACAGATTTTTGACAAAGAAGCAAAATTGTGAAATGAAAAAAAGAAGCATATTTAACCTGCCTGTTTATTTTTTACAGACCTTTTACTGGCCTGAAACTGCAGTTCCCTGAGGCTACTTTTTTGCAAACTTGCCTGTCTGCTCCTAGTTGAAGCAGACCCATGCGGTAGGGGGCTGGACACTTGCTCCCTCAGTCCACAGCTTGGCTTTGCCTTTCTGGGTACTAGGGACCGGGCGGTGCAGGCCACGCTTTTTAAGTTTAAAAGTCCCATCAGAGGTCAGTGGCTGATTCGTTCACAGGCTCTCTGGTGTCTGCCATTGTAGCTGCCTTGAGAACGTAGCATGCCATCACAAGCTCTGGCAGGTGGAGCCGCGCCAATTCTTACTATCTTTTTTATTCTGACTTGTAATCATAAAGTTAGGAGAATTTCTGAATCCTCTCCTCTGTTCTATTGGCCAACTCTGGGCTGCTGACTGTGTGGGGTTAAATTTGCTCTCCAAACTTACTCTGTCTCCTGCTTGCCTTTCACCCACAGGTGGGTTAGATTCAGCTGGCTACTGCGCCTGCACCTGGCGCCTCAATCTCAGCGGTAACCTAGGCGATTATTGAGCCAAATGCCGTGTTTTCCTTCACCTTTCCTACCCATTTAGCAGTGATAAAAGTTGTATCACGCTTACAGATTCTAAATATCTCTACCTTTGTTTCTCCTCCACTTTAACTTCCTTTAGCAATCAACATACATAAGTGAATACTCTTTCCTTATCTCATATATATAACTTATTATTTACACATTTTTACTCCTAATTTAAATTTCCCTCGTCTGTGCACTTCTTTAAATTCTATTCTCTATTTCTGAGCACTCAGTACTCACGTATCCACCTGTGGTGCAATTTTTTCTCACATTCTCCTCCGGACGTCTGGTCACTTCTCCCATGTTTTTTGGGGTTCACCAATCAGTCCCACATCCAGGCACCATTATGTCAGAGTCTGAACCAGCCTGGACCATAAATTACTTCTCAGACCAGAGGGGAGGCATGGGAAGAATAGAGACACAACTCACATGGCTTTATCGGGAGGTAGTTTCTCAGAGATCCCTCATGAAATCCTGAGTTCACATCCTGAAAATTCACCTGTGTTTATTCTCCAAACAGCTTTTATACCAAAACATAAACTGAGGGGAAAATTCATTAGCATTCGGTTTCCTAGGTAGCCAGGAGAGTGACTGTGGTCGCGTCCACACCTTTCTATGCCCACTCTGTCACATCTTCCTATCTATG